AAAAAATCCTTAAGATGTGGGAACATGTGCTTCTGTATTAATGCACGAATTAACACTATCTAGCAGTAGTTTAATTCCAAATGCAATGTTTATGTATTATTTTTTTTTTTTTTGAGAGAGAGAGAGAGAATGAGTAGGGGGAGGGCAGAGAAAGAGGGAGACACAGACTCCGAAGCAGGCTCCAGGCTCTCAACTGTCAGCACAGAGCCCAAAGCGAGGCTCAAACTCACGAACCACGAGATGATGACCGGAGCCAAATAAGCCACCCAGGGCCCCCCCAAATTTAATTTCTAAGCAGTGATGAGCATAATTTGTCAAGAGATCTGCAACAAACGTGTGAGATTTGAATAATCTGCTTTTATTAGTGAGAAAGACACAGATGTTGCTTATAATACTGTGATCTGTTGCAAATATTTATAAGTGAAGGAAATGCTAAATATTATTGATAGTTTAGTGAAAATAAATACATAGTTTTATTCTCATTGAAGTTCATAGACCTCTCTACATTCTCTCCGCAGACCCCAACATATACATAAAGCAGTTGGAGGCACAGCTTCCCTGGCTTAAACAGAAGCAGAAACAGAAGCAGAGGGCTGGTGGCAGCATTGCCTGGCTTCTCTGTCACTGCCTTTTCCTCCCCAGCCCACAGCCCCGAGGCCCCTGTGAGCAATCAGCTCCAAGGCTTGTTGGAAGCAGCTTGAAAAGCACTCACAAAGAAGGTACTATTCGGCCTGTTGAGAGTACGAGTGCAAGAGCACGCCTATGTCTATTTTCCCACTCTCCCAGCCGTATCTCTACATATGGTGTGAACAGAGTATGTGGGGGATCGGGTTCTTCTTACCTCATTTTCTTTTCACTTTTTTATTCTATTTTAATCTTGTTTCCTTTATTTTGTTATAGCCCACCAGTTCTTAGCATGCCTTCTCTTGTTTCTTACTGACGGATTTTGTTTATTGTACTTCAGTTCAGCGCTTGTGCTGTTGTACTCATTTTTACTCTTGGTTTTATTTTCCCATTAGATGTGTAGAATATTATCAGGGACTCTTTTTCTTGTCAACCTATATAGTGTCTGGTATTAACGGCTTTAATCACCTTTAGTTCACATTATTCCTTTGTTTAAAGCATCACTGCCCTTTCCTCGTTTTTGATTTTGATTTTGTTTGTTCGTTGTTGTTGTTTAATGAATGGTGGGGGGAAAAGCTGATCATCAGGTTGCAGTCCCCCAGGGGTCAAATAGGGGTGTTTGGATATTCTTTTCCCTCATACTCTCTCAAACGCAGCCTTTCTAACTCTCCTTACAAGACCCTGGGAATCTCAATCTGGAAGCCTCTAAACTTTTAAACCTGTGTCCCTCAGGAGAGTCAAAGGCTAAAATTCTCTCCCGGAAGGATAGAATGGTAACAAGCCGGCCTGTGCCAGCAGCACCCTGAACTGCTGGAACTTGTGCACCTGAGTCAACGGCAGATGCTCAGTCAGCCCTCCACTGGTCATGCAAGGTTCCAAACTTCTCTGGCTCTAATACTGCTTACATCATCAGTGGGGAGACCGATCACTAGAAGATGGGAGAACGCAGCAGTTAGGCTCTGCTTGCTGAGCCTGACCCGCACAGGCTGAGGGAGAGAAAGAGTTGAGCCAATGACAGAGGTGGCAGCCCAAAGTCCTGTTGTGGGCCCTACCCTCAAAGATGGTACTGCCTGGGGAGTGAGAAATCCTCCCAAGAAGCTGTCAGTTATTTGGGATTAAGAAATGGCTTCATTTCCTTACTCTAGACTGGTGATCATAAACTTCTCTAAGATGTCTAAAGTCATCCCATGTGGGGATGCCGGGCATCACAACCACTACATGCTGAAGACCTAACTGGTGGCAATACCACAGGCCCTAGGTGTCTTTTGGATCGACATTCCTGACTTCAATTAATGCAGAGAAACCTTGAGAATTCATTACTTGTAACTTCTAATTTTGCTGAGGCACAACCTTTATATATTCTCTAAGGCTGGAAAGCAGGAATGAGACATTTAGCTAATGAGTGAATGTAGCCAACCTCCATTATCTACATCTTGATGCAGTTTTTTGGGGTGATACCTAGTCCCATACACATATAACAGTAATTTCATGAAGTCACAAAAATGTTTATTTCTTTAAAAAAGAAAAAGGCTGAGAAAAAGAGAGCCAATTTTCTTGGCAATGGAAGGGAGGAGAAACAACAGAAATAAAGTGATGTCATTGTTAGAACAATAGTTTTTTTTTTTTTTTTATTGAAGTATAGTTGACATTCAATATATTAGAACCTCAGTTTTGATTAAGCAAAGGATGGGATGTCAAATTAAACAGTGACCCATCTTAAGATGGGTAAGAGTCTTCTATATAACCTATATGGAAATAGGAGACAGTTTAGGAAACTTTCAGTAAGAGGCCTAACAAAACTGACATCATGAGAGGAATCATGATGGTCTTAAAGGCGGGACTTAAATTTCTCAGTTAAACTTTAACGTATGAGGAATGGGACAGTCTTTAACTTGGTCTCTATACTCCAGCACCTTGGACACAGCCTAGGCATGTAACAGGTGCTCAGTAAACACTTGCTGAATGTTGAATCACTGAAATCAATTATACACTACAGAGGTACTTGTAAATTTGGGTTGTATTTCTTCCAAAATCATGGCACTGTGTCCCACAGAATTCTAAGAAATAATTTCTCTTTAGACATTGGAACTATTTTCTGCATTTTGCCATCAACAAAGCAAAAGAACAAGAACTGGGAAGATGGTGGCCTGAATACACTTTCCACCACAGGCAAAAATAACTATCAAAGGAGCCCTATGGTGCCAAAGAACCACTAAAAAAGGCAGGGCTTACTCTCATTAAAGAATACATTTATATTTAGGAGAGCACTTGCAATTATGATTTCAGGACTAGAATTTAAAATTATGAAATGATTAAAGGCAATCTTAAATTTAAAATAAATGCTTTTAAGGGCGCCTGGGTAGCCCACTCGGTTGAACGTCTGACTCTTGGTTCCAGCTCAAGTCATGATCTCACTGTTCATGGGTTCGAGCCCTGTATCAGGCTCTGAACTGGCAGCATGGAGCCTGCTTGGGATTCTCTCTGTCCTTCCCCTGCTACCACGTGCACACACTCTCTCTCTCTCTCAAAAATAAACTTTTAAATAAGTATATTTCAGGTGTGAAATCTAATGTACTTAAGATTTACATTTGTACACAAAACACCAAAAAGGTGGCAGAATTTACCCAATTCAGAAAGAAAGAAAAAAAAAAGGCTCATTACTATGTAGCAAAATCATGTAAAAGAAAATTGAATACATTTTCATTAATATAAAGAAAGCTTAAAAAAATGTACCTAGGGGATGCCTGCATGGCTCAGTTGGTTGAGTGTCTTTGGTTCAGGTCATGATCTCAGGTTCATTAGTTCAAGCCACGCATCCAGTTTGTTGCTATCACTGTGGAACCCGCTTGGGAGCCTCTGTCCCCCTCTCTGCCTGCCCCTCTCCCACTTATGCTCTCTCTCAAAAATAAAATAAACATTAAAGGAAATAATAAAAAATACCCAGATGGAAAAAATAAAAAACTCTCTTAATCAAAACAAAGGACAAATGGCAAATTCTAATGTAATGCTTACTAAGAACATTTTTTTAATTAACTTATATATTTTGAGAGAGAGAAAGTGCAAGCTAAGGAGGGGTAGAGAGAGAGGGAGAGAGAGAGAATCTCACACAAGCTCCACTTTGTTAGCACGTAGCCAGATGTGGGGCTCAAACTCATAAACCATGCGATCATGACCTGAGCTGAAATCAATAGTCAGGTGCTTAATCAACTGAGCCACCCAGGCACCCCAAAACATTTTAAGCGTCAATTTGAATCTATTTTTGAAACCCAGGAATTGGAACAAATCATAAATCACATTTTTTATTTATTTATTTATTTATTTTTTTAAAATTTTTTTTTTTTTTTTTTCTTTTCCAACGTTTATTTATTTTTGGGACAGAACACAGAGACATGAACGGGAGGGGCAGAGAGGGGAACACGAATCGAATGGGCCAAACAGTGCTCAGGCTCCAGCCATCAGCCCGTGACGTGGTGTGGAACTCACGGACCGCAGACGTGACTGCTGACAGTCGGACGCGCAGCTTAACCGACTGCGCCACCCAGGCGCCCCTAAATCACATTTTTTAAATCACAACAAGGAATCACAATAAAAAGTTGTAAGGTATCATTTTGATCTGATAGATGAAACTATAAGAAAAAAAAATCAGAATTTATTTGACCAGTCCCTTATTTAACAAGCTTTAGGTTATTCACATCTTTTGCTACCACAGATGGTGCTGTAGTGAACAAGCTTCTTTTTCTTTGTACACACAGGTGAGTGTGTCTGTAGTTCACAGTAGGATTGTTCACAGCTGTGGGAAAGTATGAAGCAAATGTGGTAATGTCCGTAAAGTTTTACAATATAGTGTTAATTAAAAATAGGTGAATAGTGGATATAGACTGTACTTCCATCTGAATAAGAAAGGGAGAGAAGAGATATATAAAATTGTTCACCTATCAGACTGACAAAAAATCTCAAAGTGTGAAAACACTTGTTGGCCAACCTGTAAAAATAGGCCTTTCTACTCCAGTGCTGGCAGTAATGTCAGCTGGTGAAATCTCAATAGAAAGCAATTTGGCAGCAGCTATTATAATTACAAATGTATACACTTACGAGGATTATGTGTAAAGTTACATGTGTACAGGGTTGTTAATTATTATACTACACCTACTACAAAGAGACAGAGCAAACAACCTAAAGGTCCTATAATAGAGAACTGGTTTAAATAATACATTCACAATACGGAATATGATGCAGTTATAAAAAATGAGGAAGCTATCTATATACTGATATGGAAATATCTCCAAAACACAAACTTAAAAAGGTGCTAAACATTATGCATAATACCTACCACCCTTTGTGAGAGAATATATAGTCAAATCAAATGGAAAACTTACTTGTAAAGGTAATACTCTGCATGGTCTATCTCTTCTCTAGATGAAATGTTGTCCACAAACTGAAAGACAGAAAAATAAACTTTGAATACAGATTATGCTATATATAGGACCTGATTCACACAATGACCTTAAAAAAGATAGGACATCCAGGGGCACCTGGGTGGCTCAGCTGAGTAAGCATCCAACTTAAGCTCAGGTTATTATCTCATGGTTTGTGAGTTCGAGCCCCGTGTCGGGCTCTGTGCTGACAGCTCATAGCTTGGAGCCTGCTTTGGATTCTGTGTTTCCCCTCTCTCTCTGCCCCTCCCCAGCTCATGCTCACTTGCTCTGTCTCTCAAAAATAAATAAACTTAAACATTTTTTTTTAAAACATAGGACATCCATTTTATTCGAACACTGTTCCCATGGTACGGCTCCATTCTTGAAACCCTTTTGTGCTAATGCAAAGAACACACAAAGCCTTCTGTTTTTCTATGTGTAGATCAACCTTGATAAGAAAAACTGTTTGAAAACCAAACATGAAACTTGCCCAGAACGAGACAGCTCCTCCTACTATGTTTATAATTAGTTATCAATATTTCCCTTTATCTTTAAATCCTGATATTTTCTCTATGTTCCAAACTCCAAACATGAGAACAGGTAGGTGAAAGGAGAAAGACTCTAATGGCTGAAAAAATATGGCCCAAGAGATGAAAATCTAAATTTAGAAAATGTAGCCTTACGACCATTTTTCCTACTCTGACCCTGCTATGAACCAGTCAACCTGTGATCCTTCCACCAACAAAGTCTTCCTCTGAACCATAAAATCCTTGTGTATGCTCCTAACTTCAAAGTAAAGAAACAAACAAAAATAATTATTCCAAGGATGTATTCTATCCTATAGGAGACACAGGCAAAAAGAATGGAATAGGACAAAATGCATGTTGTGCCTAAAACTGAAACTTTATGAAGAAAATGAGCAAAAGCGGAGAGGCTTTCTAAAAATGTCTAGGACTTAAGGATTTTATTTAGAAATCTCATTAAGGAGCAGATAAAACACAATTCAAACACAGGACTTAAAGTTGAGAACTCATTCTCCTGAGTGAGTGTTTGCTGTGTGGCAAAGACAGATGGTACAGCCACTCCGGAACTTAGCTGGTCCATCTGCATTAAAAGAATAAGGGCACCTACACTGAAGAGTGTGAGACTCCAGTGAGAAAATGTACGTGAAAGCTCTTTAAGCTCTCAAGTGCTGCTTAAACAAGTATCAGGTATTTTGGCATACAGAAATCTTATCCATCATGTAAGAGATGAGCAATGGCTTTTCAGTCCCCCTCTGAAAATTGAGGCTACACAATTTAGGTTATGACCTAGTTAAAACTGCTTCCCTACTAAAAGGAAAATATCAAGAGGCAGAAAGAAAAGACTGAGACTAAAAAGGATAAGGGTTTCTTTACTTTTCCTCATGTAAATTTAAAAACATCCTGAATTTTACGGTGCCATTAATTTCTACAAAGAATTTTCACAATTAAGATCTCATTTTAGCATACCAGCCCTGTGGGGAGATACTACTGATCCCACACTGGAAATGAAGAAATTGAGAGGGGCTCAATTGCCTAATGTCACAAAATGAATTCATGATAAAGAAAAGATCAGATCTACTTGAGGGAGGCAACAGAGAAAGACTTTTTTTTTTTTTTAATTTTTTTTTTCAACGTTTATTTATTTTTGGGACAGAGAGAGACAGAGCATGAACAGGGGAGGGGCAGAGAGAGAGGGAGACACAGAATCGGAAACAGGCTCCAGGCTCCGAGCCATCAGCCCAGAGCCTGACGCGGGGCTCGAACTCCTGGACCGCGAGATCGTGACCTGGCTGAAGTTGGACGCTTAACCGACTGCGCCACCCAGGCGCCCCTGAGAAAGACTTTGATGTCACAGAGATTTGGGTTTGAAGCTCAATTTTTCTATTTATGAACTGTGTGCACTTGAGTAAGTTATCAACCAGTCTGAGTCTTACATATAAAATGCAGTTAACAGTGCTTATCTCATACGGCCATTATATGAATTAATAGAGATAATGTACATTATTAAGAAGCTAGTACAATAGCTGGTATAGAAAGTGTTCAGTAACAGTTACTATCAATTACCATTCCTGATTTTTAGCCTAATATTATCCTCTGCTCCACTGCACTGCAGTATTAAACAGTAATATCCATTCTTTTATAGACTTTCTCAAATATCAAAATCACTTCAAATATTAACAAGTGAAATACTACTACTTTGAAGGGTGTATCAACATAAAAAAATCATAGTATCATAGAACAGAATATCATATCCTAGAAAAATTCAAATCAGATACACAACAATGATCACTGACATCAGAGTCTGGTAAATTTATTACTTTTTATTTCAGTTATAGAAATTTGCTACTTTACCACAAAATATCTATTAGTAACTACAAAAACATACCCTACTATGCAAGAGTATTTCCTATGAAAGGTAGCCTTTATTTACACAGCTTCATTTAAATAAAGAGCCTCTCATCCTCCTCCTTTGAAAATATAGATGTTTAAGTTTTCTTACCCGTGATATTGTTAAAGAACTAACAGGCAGCTTTCTCTCATATGTTTTATCCATTAAAGATGCTAGATCAGCTGTGAAGACAAAGAAGGAAAAAGAACGTTGTCAAATACACATATTTCTTAAGAAAAATCTAACAGATAACAACTCCTACCAGATGGCTGCCAACATTGTGAAGTCATTATTAAAACAGATGCTCTTTCTTGCTCTTTTTATAAATCATTTTTGTATAAATTAGAAAGGATGAAGGAATATTAGTAATATTTTAAAAAATGGTTTACTTAACTGGAGTAAGGATTATTTTTAAAATCCTACCATATATTTAGCTTTTTAATTTTTTTAAAGTTTATTTATTTTTAAGAGAGAGAGATAGGGAGCACACAAGCCAGGAAGGGGCAGAGAGAGGAGACACAGAATCTGAAACAGGCTCCAGGCTGTGAGCTGTCAACACAAGCCCGACATGGGGCTTGAACTCACAAACCGCAAGATCATGACCTGAGCTGACATCAGACGCTTAACCCACTGAGCCACCCATGCCCTCGACCATATAGTTAGCTTTTAAACAGTGGATCAATAAAGTACCTCTGGAAGGAAATAGAAGAAAGTGTTATCACTGACACTTTCCAGGGAAAGGAATTACATAGTAGGGAACCAAAGAAAGGAGATCCTTCGTTGCTTACACATTTATTCTTTTTGCATTTTGAACCAGGTAGCTAGCTGTATTAGCTCTTCAAAAATTTAAAGATTGGAATTTATGAAATGACTTTTACACATTTTCTGAACAAATCTGAGAGGCATTCTGACTACGTTTAGTAATTTTTGGCCTGAACTAATTCCTATTCTGGTTGCTTTGAGCAGAATATCCACAGAAATACTTGGCATTCCTGAGATTACATTGTTATCTCAGAGTCTAAAAAGATCTGAAACACCAAGCAACATACTCTCAAAAGAATTATTTCACACCTTCTCATTGCTTCTCAAAGTTACAATATGTTCTTTCCCCTTCTTTCTTCCCCTGAGCTCATGGTTTTGTGTCTTCTTTCCCTGAGTATAAAATAGAAGCAATCAACAGAACTTCATCCTCCTCCCACCAGGTCTCCAAGCTACCAGCATCTATGCACATATACTCTGCCTTCTATTTTTTAATAAAGGATGAACTTTATCAAACAAAAAACCAAAATGACAAAAACCTCCCTTAACCTCCTATCTCCTTCCAGATAACTTCTCCGTTGCTCTGTTCCCCTCAGCAGCAAGAGTTCTCAAATCAGTCATCCCTGACACAACTATTACTACTTCCTTAGGTCCTTTCTTGAACTCGTTCAAATCAGGTTTTAGTTTCCATTATTCCACTAACACCAAAGACCACCTCCACAGTGTTAAATCCAACGGTTAATATTTCATCCACATCTTACTTGACCTCTCACTAGCATGTTAACATAGTTGACCATTCTGTACTCTTTCTTCACTTTCTTGGGTTCCTTTGCAAAATCTCCTCTTATTGACTTCTAAATGCTGGAGTGCCTAAGTCTCAGTGGTAGACTTTTCACCATCTTCTCAGTCCCTGGGTGATCTCATGCCCTCCCACAGCTTTAATATCATCTACGGATTATTTACTCCACGTATATATGCCTACCCTGACTTCTTTCTGCCTGTAACTTCAGACTTGTGTTTCCAACAGCAGAGGTGACATCTCCATTTGGATGCCTAACAGGTATCTAAACATGGCAGGTCCTCTTAATTCTACAACCTTTCCCTCAAACTTGCTTTTCTCATCTCAGTAAACAGCTATTACATCTACTGGCTTATTCAGGTCAAAAACCTAGGTGTCTTCCTCAACCCCATTCTTTTTCACTCTATAACCAACTGTCAACAAGTACTAAAGGCTCTAGATTTGAAACATAAATATAAATATGTATTTTTTCCTACTACCACTGCTAATCTCACACCTCCCGACTAGTCATGTTAACTACTGCCCCCCCCCCCTTACAATCTAACCTCTACACAGCAGTCTGAGCAAGACTTTTAAAAAAAGATAAATCAAATACTGTCATTTTCTCTTCTCAACCAGCCAACAGCTTTCTATCATACTTGGAATAAAATCCAAAATATTTTCTATGACCTACAAATGCCTACATAAGCTAGTCTGTGTTTGTTTTTTGTATTTTCTGTCTTTTACACTTAGAAGAAGCAGTGGTAATCAATCAACAAGTAATTCTTGAAGACCTATTGCTGTGCATTTAGCCATTTTTTTTCCTGTTTCCTTTCCCTGGAGTAATGCTCTCAACGACTCGTAGCTACTGGGGGAAAGCAACACAAAACCCTAAAAACCTGATATAATGTAAATGTGATTACTTTTCTTACAACTACCTTAAAGGGATTGACACCAGGTAATTAAAGACTATTAAAACACACACACATGGAGGTCTCTAAAACCTCTTCACATTAAGGCAAATTACTATTGTTAAACCTACTTGCTCAGAAAGGGATATTAAACAGCAGTCTCATGGTACCAAATCTTTTTGATACACGTTGGATTGAGTTGGCTTCTGTAGCGTGATAACTCAAGATTCCATTTTAGTCCTTCACACCAAGACATCTTCTTCAGTCAAGTGAAATTGGTTGGGGCCTCAAAAAAGCAACAGCTGCATAGCAAGCATCAGATGAATAACATTTGCATATTATAAGTCAGAGAGGGGTTTGCTGCTAAATATTCTATGTGACCAATCACCTTACACGATAGTGTTGGCGTGATGAATGAGGCAGAAAACTGCACAGAGCAGAGATGGCCAGGAAAGCTGGAGCAGCTGTGGCCTACAGAGGGCCAGCGCCATAGGCTTCTGGACCACGGACTTCAACAGCCAAAAAAACACTTCGTGTTTCAGTGAGGGGCCCACAAATGCCCAGGTTTTGTTCAAAAAAATGTGCCACAGAAGATGCTTTCTTCCCTGTCATTCAGCTCCTCAGGACTGCAGCAGACAGCTGAGGTCCACAAAAGCCATATGGGAAAATGCATCTTCATTTAACGAAACTTAAAGCTGTATAGACAATGTGAAAGTATGTCCAAGAAATGAAATGTATACTAGTATAAAATGTTCTTATCTGAAGAAAACAATACCATTGATGATTTAAGGTCATAAAAGATTTTATTTAAGGATCCTGCATGATTCCAAGTATAGGAGGGTACTTGTTCACAAACCCGGTTGAGGATTTGAATCACGTGCAGGATTTTAAAACTTTAAAATTTCAGGGGCACCTGCATGGCTCAGTTGGTTACGTGACCAACTCCTGATTTTGGCTTAGGTCATGATCTCACTGGTTCGTGAGATGGAGACCCACTTAGGGCTCAAGCTATCAGCATGGGATTCATTCTCTCTCTCTCTCTCTCTCTCTCTCTCTCTCTCTGTCGCTGCCCCTCTCCAACTTGCATTTTTTTTCTCTCTCTCGAAATAAATAAACTTAAAAAAAAAAAAAAAAAGAACTTTAAAACTTCAGATTCCTATGCTTCACACCCAGAGAGCGATTTTAATTCTGTAGGCCTGAAGTGAGACCACGGAAATACCAATTTTTAAACAAAAGACCCCAAGAGATTGCAATGCAACCTCACAAGAACTAGAGTGAATTATGTTTGAGAACTGCCATGGAGAGAACACAAAACACATCTTCAATATTGCTCTTAAGTTCAAAGATGATATTAAACTGAATTCTATTTCCGGAAAAAGGTGGAAAATAAAACACCTAAATAAAATATTTTTTAAAAATTCATATATATGACAGTTTTAAGTGAGAAATTATTAGATGGTTTTGGTTTTTTATGATTTCTATGTGACTGTACATGACTGTTCATCAGTAAACACTAAACTCTTTCTGGGCTTAAGAAGATCTGTGTACCTTGGGAAAAATGGGTGAAGGGCATTAAGGAGGACACTTGTTGGGATGAGCACTGATTGTTATAGATAAGTGATGGATCACTGGATTCTAACTCCTGAAGCCAAGACTATACTATATGTTAACTAATTTGAGAATACATTAAAAAAAAAAAATCTGTGTCCCTCATTGAATTTACATAATAAACTAGATACAAATTATTGTTGTTACCTCCTAGAAGTGATCAGAACATAGAATATGAAGCTATGTTTCTGTTTCCAGTATTAAAAAGCAAATACAGGCACACATGACATATGTACAGAAGTGAAAGAAGGAAGGAGGGAGTAGGAAACACCTAGAAACCCTTCTGAATGTAGATGTTTAGATTTTCATGTATCCATTTGTCTGTCACCAGAAGCTTTAAAACAAATAGTTTCAATAAAGGAAAAATCTAAAGGCAAGCTTTATATGCATATATACTAAGAAAAAGAGACTAAAGGAGGATGATATGGAACTGAAAGATTAGGAAAGCTGGTTTCAGAAAATGTCAGGCTTCAAGAGCAAGGTTTGAAAAATCACTGCAAGGGGCGCCTGGGTGGCGCAGTCGGTTGGGCGTCCGACTTCAGCCAGGTCACGATCTCGCGGTCCGTGAGTTCGAGCCCCGCGTCGGGCTCTGGGCTGACAGCTCGGAGCCTGGAGCCTGTTTCCGATTCTGTGTCTCCCTCTCTCTCTGCCCCTCCCCCGTTCATGCTCTGTCTCTCTCTGTCCCAAAAATAAATAAACGTTGAAAAAAAAAAAAGAAAAAAAAAAAAAAAAAAAAAAAAAAAAAAAAGAAAAATCACTGCAACAAGCCAAAGGCCTCCACAGCTGAAATGACACAGCAAAACTAAACCTCAGCTAATGAGAGAAATGTTTGTAAGAGAGGACCACAGTGCTTTGTTTCACCCTAATTCAAACGAGTCAGTGGTGTATATACTTCTTTGATTCAGAAAGGGAGTTCTTAAAAAAAAAAAAAAAAGTGCTGAAAACCTAAAGGTATCCCTTACTTTATAATTACTTATAAACTGAAAAATCAGAAATAAAACATTTAATTCAGTAGGGCTCAGAAATCCAATTCAGCTCATCACCAGGGCCCTTACCCCTAGCAAGGTGATGCAAGCCAGAGAACTTTTTCTCATAGAAAGCAGGGAGCTTCCCCATCAGGCCTGCC